CAGGCTTTGTCTCACATACCTTTGAATCCTGGGCCCCTAAAACGCAGAACAAGCTTTCCACACATGCTCATAGATTTCTAGGTGCTCTGAAGGCAGGCACCACATTTCACTGTGCTCAAGTCAGTTTTCACCTTTAACTTCCCAGCACAAACAACAGAAGTATCTTCTACATGTGTGTCAGGCACCGTCATAGGCTCAGAGAGAAGAGTCAAAGCAACTTGTGGCTTGGACTCTTACTGCCCTGCCTTCTACAGAGAGATGAGAAATAAACAGGTAAGGGCTGGGGATTTAGCTCAGCGGCAAAAGCGCCTGCCTGGCAAGCGCAAGGTCGTGGGTTCGGTTCCCGGTACCGGAGAAAAAAAACAAAAAAAAAAGAAATAAACAGGTAAGCCAGCAAATGAGCAGGCCAAGTCCAGAAGCGGCAGGTGCCACAGGTAAAGTGGAGTGCCAGGCACCTGCCGTCCTCTTTGCAACACCCTGAGCTCTTCCGTCCCTGAGAGTTTTCCTTTAGACAGACCTGGAGAAAAGATCAACTGCAGGAGCTCCCTTTGCATCTTAAAAGGAAATTAAAATGTTCTGAACTACAACTAAATTTTCCTTTTAAGGGAAAAATTCCTTTTATATGAAAATTATTTTTTCTTCCCTCAGACTGCATGGGCTGTTTTTTACACAAACAAGAATCCACAATGCATTAACTGATGAAATACACCACACTATGTTTTACCTGCTTTACAGGAAACAAAATATTTGCTTCCATTGCAAACTATCCACTGCAACGCATTGCTTCCCTAGTGAGACAGGAAAGGGGTTAATGCAAAAATTACTTAAGGCCATTATCAGGTTGAGAACGCAGAAGACAACCTTTTAATGATTCTACCGCTTCTCATTTAAACTCCTAGGAACTATCTCTATGTAGTTGTGTTTTTTTTTTTTTTTTAAAAATAAAAGTGGAACTTCATACAATTACATATCAATAACCTAAATAATTTCACCCAGTTTACATAGTTCTGCCTTTTGGACTGATCAGCCAGCCAAAAGACAGCTCAGCCCTCTATGGATAGCTGATGACACTGCCCATACCCAGCCTGGCAGGAATTCACAGTCTTGCTTTGTGGATCCTCTGCTAGGCCATTTATACCAGCAAGTTAGGTCTACTGGGAAAGAGTTACCATCTTGGTCTCCCACAAACACTTTATACCGTGTAGGTCTTCACCTAGCACCTATGAGTTGGCTGTCCACCAACCAAGATCCACTTCTTATACTATGGTGGGGGTCTTGCTTTCCTCTGTATCCTCAGCTTCATGGACCCCATAAAAATACATGAAATGTGAAGTCTAGTATAGCTTCGAAGTGTTAAACACATTTGCTCTTAAGAGGGATAATATTTAGCTTAGCCTTTTCCAGCGTTGGCCGCGCAGTTTTCACATCTCAGGAAACAGAGTGAGAGTGGCTGGTGCTGGGTGTGAACATACTTAAAGTCCACAATGCCTGCAGACATGCATTTTCTGTTTTGAATATTGAGAAATATGCAGGCAATTGTGCTTGAAGGCATCCTCACTCTGCACTCATAAATCTTGCCTATCTTATTTTCCTTACTGTCTTTGTATCCTCCTTGACCAACCTATTTTCCTTTTTCTAGAGGTCTGTGTATCATTTAGTGCAGTTTACTGGTAAAACATAAACATCACAAAGAGAGACACGGGGGAACTTGTGCTTCTAACAATCTTTAGGCTTGTCTTCTGAACTCATCCTCAAAAGCCTTTATCCACAAGTGTGCCTCATGCACCTCCCTTGGCTATATCCCTCCAGCCAGGTCACAGTGGAGTAACGCTGCTGACTACCTAGCACAGACAGCCTGTGTTAGCTGTTCCACAAGGACACGTGCTGCCCATATTGGCCTAGGGCAGCACAATCTTTTGGCTCTACATCAGACCCACACCTCACACTGCAAAGTGGATTCAGTGGATTGCTCTGGGACAACTTCTCTCCCCTATTTTGATCAGCAACACTCCTAGGAATAAAGTGTGAGGTTGGGTGACCAACCAAGAGTCCAGAGGTTAGCAGATGACAGGAAGTAAAGTCAGGAATTGTCTGATAAAGACAGCGTGAGTACATCAGGCACTGCGACTACTCATGACTTGTAGCACTGGGCATTAACATTCCCACATTGGAGTAGCTGGCAAACTCAGGATAGGTTCTTCTATTTGGCTTGAAACTCTGGAGCCTGGCTAGGACAGAACTCGGCACATGACAGTGACTTCTGATAAGTATCTAGCATATGAGTGACAGTGGATCAGTGTGAACCGAAAGGCATGGAAATAGGGTACTGTACCTTCAACACATGATTTGGGTTTTGATAACAAAAACTGTAACAAGCATTTGTATAAATTGTAATTGGACACAGCACCTTTCATGTGATGACCTGTTTGTTAGACAAAGAAATCAAACTAAAACAGAAAAAAGGTAAGACATGTCCTTATACAACTGGGAAATTTTATATTCTTATAGAATCTAGAATTTATTTTCAAAAAGGCTGAATCCTAGGAAAAATATCAAGAAGTCGGCCAAATTTCAGGTATTGTAGCAACTAAGATGGAGGTGGCTTTGCATGAACCAACAGACACATTCCAGAGTGGACCCAGAGGTCAGAGCAGAGAAGTGTATTCCTCTTAGGATCAATCTCTTCCCATCCTTGAGTGAGGAGGATCTGTGAACAGACTGTTTAAAAGTTCCTTAGTACTTATTACTTTAGAAGAGACCTAAATGAGGCTTCTGGAGCCTTTGGTTTCTATCCAAACCCCAGGCTCTCCTGGGCACAGCAGTGTGGGGACACAGAGTGGGGACCACTCTTGCCACGGCTGGTCTCACTTTCTGAGCCTTTAGCTTCTCCCAAGTGGAACTGTGTGTAGAATGAATCCCTTCAAAGACATGCTTCTCCAGGTGCCCTGTCTTTCTACAGCGAAAACCAGCGAAAGGCAGCATTTCTCCTGAGGTGCTCTTGCCCCTTCCCCACAACACCCATCACAATGCCAGCGCCCCCCCAACATGCAGCAGCAACTAGCACAGCACAGAAAAATTCCCTCATCTACCTAGGATGTGTTGTTTCAAAATGTTTGCGCTCCTGCACCTCTATCATCACCTTCTCCCCAGAAGTGTCTCACTCACCATCATCTCCCGCCTCACCCCACCCCGGGCCTGCACCGGAGTTGCCAAGAAAGAGAGGAGATGCTGATTTTGTGAAGAACTTAGGAGATCGCCAGGAAGGGTCCCCCAAGCAACCCCAGTCCTAGCCTGAACCTTAGGTGAGGCTCCAGTTCTGGTCCCTATGAGTCAGTAAAAATATCTCTGCTGGCCACATCTAATGGCTGTAATCAAGGCCACAGCTCACCTTGCTGGTACCAGATCCACATCACTTCAATGCACTATCCACGGGTTACGAATTCCAGGGATGCCCACAGGGAGGAGAGAAGTACCTGGTAGAGCCAGAGGGCCAAGAGATCAACTGGAGCACAAGGATCCACACCCTCACGGCCAATGAAGTCAAAGGGCAGATACCAAGCAGAGATCCACATGCAGCTGAAGCCCAGACAGGGGTGTAAAAGAGGATACCGGGCCACTCTGTCATCATGGCCCTTCCCTGGGAAGCGGCACTGTAAGACAGCTTCCTGTAGGAACACACTCACATGCCCTGCAACTTCACCCCAAAGGCGAAAGGGCAGGGGGCACTGGAGACACCCAGAAGACCTCTGGCCTCCAGGAGGGGTTCGACCCCTTGTGTACAAGAGAAGCAAGTCGGCCAGGGCCGAGAGTAAACTGCAGTAGGAAGTGGAAAGCCTAAACAGCAACCTGAAGGAGATCTCGCTGGCAGAAAAGCGCCTTGGAAACGCGGTTCATTGAGTGAGGAGCAAACAAAGGCTTGGGTGCGCACGCGGCGGACGGCGGCGCAGCGGCAGCGCTCAGGGCCACGGCAGCCGCGCCCGCCCGAGCTGGCGCCCGAGTAGTCCGGTGCCCCGCAGGCGCAGCCTTCCGGACCGTGACGCGGTCTGCCGGCCCCGCCTCGCCCTGGTCCCCCGGGTGAGCCCCGTGAGCGCTCGCCCGCCATCCACAGCAGCGGCGACTCCCTCCTCTGCCCCCGGCGCCTCTTTCCTCCACGTCTCCGCTCGCCTCCCTATTCTAGCGAAGCCCTGCCTGACTTTCGCTGGGTCTGGCCCCCCTCCCCCATGGCGCGCCTTCTGCCGCCCCTTCCCGGAGCGCTCTCAGCCCCGCGCCCACCGGGGGCAAGAGAGGGTGGCAACGGTAGTCCCGCCAGTCGGAACCCGCCGCACCTTTTTCTTCCACCCTAGCACCCCATTGTCTCTCCTCTGTCTTCACGCACTCGAACATGCTAACCCCAGGGTCCGCATTAGGCGGGCACCGGGAGGGGGCACGTCCTCTCGGGGTGGTGCACACACTTCCACCCCGAGACTCCAAGCTCTACAACACGGCCCCCGCGGGGAAGGGGCGCCGACACAGCTGCCTCAGCGTTCGGAAGCGCCGGCCTAGGGTCCGGCCTACCCTCGCCCCAGCCGCAGGAACCCAGCAGGGTCGGGTGGGGGGTGTGTTTACCCCAGGCTAGCGATCAAAGGCTGGAGAGAACCAGGGATCTGTGGTGAGTGGTGACAAAGTTGCAAGTAGAAATCTGTGCCCGGACCCCGTGGCCTGGACCAGCCAGGGGTTCAGGACCGCGGAAGGTCCCGTTTGCACGCCCTACTCCCACCGCCCCCGATCACCCTTCCTCCGCGCGCGCAGAACCTGGGAAAGCGCGGCGTTCCTGTGCTAACGGACGCTCCCGCGCCACCGAGGTGCCACCAGCTTCCTGCCCTTCCAGGGAAGCCGGCCGGGCGCTGACCGCCCCTGACCCACACACCCGGACCGCCGCCCACCTCCGTAGCCCCCTTCCTCCCCGCCAGCCGGGACCGGGGGCCGCCCCCACACTCGGCGGCGCGGGCCAGGCCACTTACTGGGGCTCAGGAAACACTCGGTCAGCCTTCGGAAGCAGCTCGTACTGTTAGAAGATCCATCTTCCATGTCGGAGCCGAAAAGCAGCGGCGAGGCAGCGGCCAGGGCGCAGCCGGCGCCTCGGGGCCGCCGCGGAGTTCGGCCGCCGCC